ACAGGAACTTAATACATTAACAGGGAAAAAAACTAACTTCACATTCCCTGATAGGTCAGGTCTGCAATATTTCAATAGATGACAACCACACCTCTGAAGTAACAGACCTGGTTGAACAGGAAAATAAAAACTGTAAGTCAGATCTAGAGCTTCCCCTTATGATTTTTTCCTTGGAACTCCATCCTATTTATACCCCAAAAGACAAAGAAAGTACAAGATAGACTGGCAGGGGTGCCCAGTGGCCCCCTGCCCCAAACACATTTGCACATAATGGCTAGACCATATACACCCACAGATCTAATGGATATGGTGCAGCGATTCTGGCGGAGGCTGAAAGAGAGTGTAGCAATGTGGTTACTAAGATCTTGGGATTCAGGGATGGAAGGCATTGTAGTTAATCGGCCAGAAGTATCAAGATTGGCCCCTATGATGGTGCTCCCTGCTCTCAAGCAGAGACTGTATGCTGCTGTTCAGTATACCAATGAGAACCATTCAACTGGCTCTGGTACTGGCTAATGGCAGCATGCCACGTGGTTTGACTGGAAAAATCAGATATTCCGTTAAACATGGGATTATAGTCATCCATGGAGGACCTTCAAAATTATATTCATGAATTAATGTCATGGTTTTGTGATTTTTGGCTTGAGGTATTCCACATCATAACATCATGTGGGGCACTGGGACTTTAACTGTCAATGCTCAAGTCCTGGGTACCTGCCCTGAAGAGAAGAAGAACTACATTCCCCAGGGGACTCTGCGGTCAGGGAGAGGAGATTTAACTACTGGCAAGGTCACCTGATGTGCTCTTTCTCGTCTGCCCTTCGTCGTGGGCGCTGCTCCCGTCTCCCTGCTGCTCAACTGGACTGCGCATCTCACCTCAGCGTTGTGGTGAGGTCTATCCACCCTTTCAGACATTCTCTCTCTCATTATATTTGATTTATTAGCTTCAATTCTGATTATATTGTATTATAGTGTGTTATCTTGCATTCTGATAATATACTTAGTAAATTAGTTTGTTTCTCCTCAGATCGTTGCCGCTGTTTTTAATTATTTTGGGGTCCCCTGTTTCTTTTTTTCCGGACGTGCAGATCTGCGGATCCCTCCGCCCCACTCGTCACGGAACCGGGCGAAACCAGCCCTTAAACCGTTGACATTCTTGGTGGAGAATGCGGGCACAGAGCCTCAGGAGAGACCCGAGGCCGACCCCTGGGATTCTGGAGTCGGGTGTACAGAGGGTCTGAAGAGCGCTACACTCCAACTGAAAAGGAGATCTTAGCTGCATATGAGGGGGTTCAGGCTGCTTCTGAAGTAGTCAGTACTGAAACACAGCTCCTTCTGGCACCTCGACTGCCAGTGCTGAACTGGATGTTTAAAGGAAAGGTTCCCTCCACCCATCATGCTACTGATGCCACTTGGAGTAAGTGGATATGCAGTACCCCATGTGTATGGGAACTGCTGAGTCACAGCCTGAACCTCTGATTGATCACCTGAGGTGAGCCATGAGTCAGCCAGAGGAGCACAGGTGAAGGCAATTCACCTGTGCTGCCGGAAGGGGGTGGAGCCTGGCTCTACCCCTCCTAGAGCTATTTAAGAGCTGGCTACCAGAAGGGAAGGATCTCTTCTGGAGATCACCCCTCTTGGTGTCTTCTGGTGAGCTCAGCCGAAGGATAAGCTCTTTCACTGATTCTCTTTCGTGATTGTTGTTTACTTTGCCTATTTCTCTTGATTATATTGTAATTATAACATCTTGATATCTATTGATTATACAATTATATTGTAATTATAACATCTTGATTATACAGTTGGTGAGCCAGGCAGGCCGAATATACTAAAATTAGCATCATGTGTTTTCTATGGAATTTCTGTAAATGGGTCAAGGGGGAGAACAAGACTCCTCTAGAGAAAATGATTCCAGGGCAGATCCCAGGATTTGAGGGATCGCCCTATTATGAGTTAGCTGCCATCATTGAAAAATGGGGTCCCTTACGCGTTATGGGCAATATCTCCCCATATCGCATGGCGGACTATTTTCAAGGACTTGGCAAGGATGTTCTCACTACTAAAGAAAAACATTTGGCTGCCTCGATGGTGGCATGGCCATTATTAAGTGCCTTAAATCATGCGGATATGAGAAATAATACTTTAGAAACTGAAAATCAGCTTTTGAAAGACCGCATTGAAAAGCTGGAGCACGAACTTGGCATTTTAACAGTGAAGAAGCCAATTCTACATCTTCCCGTAGGCCAAATTCGTAACATTTCAATACATGATGACCAGACTCCTGAATCAGCAGACTTCGTTGATCAGGAGAACAAGAAATCCAAATCAGACCTTGAATGTCCAATTCTGACTGATCCATTGGAAATCCGTCCTGCTGTAACCCAGAAAACAAAAAAAGTACAGGACAGACCGGCAGGGGTGCCGCCTGATCAATGGCCCCCTGCCAGACTCATTTACACGTAACAGCTCGGCCATACACAGCAACAGAATTGATGGACCTAGTACGACGATTTCGGCAGAAGCCTAGAGAAAGTCTGCCGGCTTGGTTATTGAGATTGTGGGATTCTGGGGCAGAAAGTGTCTTGGTGAATGGCCCAGAAATAGCTAAGTTGGCCACCATGACAGTCCATCCTGCTCTCAGACAGAGATTATACGTAGGTAATCAATATCGTGATGAAAACCATTCCATACTAGAATGGTTAATGGTGGCCTGCCGTATGGTATGGCCGAATAAATCAGACATACCTTTACATACAGGCATGTGGTCTTCCATGGAGGACCTTCAAAACTATATCCGCGAACTGGGTGTAAGAGAGGCTATCTATGAAGATATGTTTGATGGCCCTGATATGGTTAAATTTTCAGCAGGGATGAGAGATTTAATTTTACAACAAGCTCCTTCCATCTGTACGGCACCCTAGTTTCCATATTAAATCCCCTTGTAGCGTCAGAAGCCGTAGTCCAGCAGGCTGCCCAGTTAGTTGCCGACCTGGGAGAAACAGAACGCCTGCGGACTAGGCGCGATATTTGGTTTTTGGAGGAAGCAGAGGTCCTGCCGGTAAATAAAACCAAAATGCCGGCTACTCGAGCTCCTCCATCGGGACCCATAAGGGTATCCCGAAAACAAATGTTTAATGATTTAATTCGGGCTGGGGTCTAATTTGCTAAGATCGACCGCCAGCCCAACCATGTCCTTCTCCAGCTCTGGAGACAACTAAAGGACAATCAAAATTCCAGAGCTACCCTAAGAAATCAAGGATAAGAGCTATAGAGAGGGTTCCAACAACAACGTGGAACCTAGAAGATTTTATTGTTCCAAATAGAAAAAAGAAGCCACCTCAGGTGTCTCGGGCCACAATGCCTGAGCCATCAGAAGCAAAAGAATTGGCCCTAGCACAATTCATGGAGTGACAAGGGATGTTAGTCCCCGTCGGGCCTCCAGACGGGACCGGAGGCCCTATGTAGAACTAGCGGTTTATTGGTCCCGAAAAAATATTCAGAGAGTGATGGCATTGGTAGACACAGGAGCAGAAACATCAATTGTCTATGGAGATCCGGGAAAATTTGATGGCGACTGAGTGATGATTGGTGGTTTTGGGGGACAGACTATTCCTGTCACCAAAACATGGTTAAAATTGGGGGTTGGGCGTCTCCCACCCCGGGAGTACAAGGTGTCTATTGCCCCAGTCCAAGAATACATCCTGGGCATAGACATTCTATGGGGTCTGGCTCTCCAAACAACTGTGGGAGAGTTCAGACTTCGACAAAGATGTATCAGTATCCGGGCGGTGCAGGCAATATTAAGAGGCCATGCAAAACACGAGCCTGTTTGCCTGCCGAAACCGCGCCGGATTACTAATGTCAGACAGTATAGACTCCCGGGTGGGCAAGATGAAATATCAAGAACGGTGCAGGAATTAGAAAAAGTGGGCATTATAAGACCTGCACACAGCCCATATAACTCCCCCATATGGCCAGTGCGAAAGTCGGATGGCACATGGAGGATGACAGTAGATTGGGGATGGACACACTGGGGAGGTAGAAACCTATCATTGTGTCCTAGATTTAGCAAATGCGTTCTTCAGTATCCCAATTGCTGAGGAATTGCAAGATCAGTTTGCGTTTACATGGGGAGGCAGGCAGTGGACCTTTCAGGTCCTGCCACAGGGGTATGTGCATTCACCAACTTACTGTCACAATCTAGTGGCGCGTGACCTGGCTGATTGGACAAAACCTGATGATGTTAACCTATATCATTATATTGATGATCTCCTGTTGACATCTGACTCACTGGAGGCAGTAGGACAGGCAGCGGGTTCATTAACTGCCTATTTACAACAGAGGGGATGGGCTATAAATCCCCAAAAGGTGTGTGGTCCGGGCCTGTCCTTAAAATTCCTGGGGGTGGTTTGGTCAGGAAAGACCAGAGTACTACTCAGTGCTGTCATAGGTAAGGTTCAGGCGTTCCCAGTCCCTACAAGATCGAAGCAGCTGCAAGAGTTTCTAGGTATATTGGGTTACTGGTGTTCCTTTATACCTCAACTAGGGCAGCTGCTAAGGCCACTCTTAAGACTCGCAAAAAAGGGGCAGCTATGGGACTGGGGGAAAACAGAACAGGATGCTTTCCACCAGGCAAAACTGGCAGTTAAACAAGCCCAGGCATTGGGTTTATTTGAATCGCCCTGACCTGCATCGACGCTCCAAGTAGGATACTGCAGGCCTATCCAGTGCCAAAAGCAAACCAGGCATATACCATCAAGGCGCTCACTGAACTGATGTCTGCTTACGGGACACCTCAAGTCATCGAGAGTGAGCAAGGATCTCATCATACTGGTGCAATGGTACAGCACTGGGCAGAAGAAAATAACATCGAATGGCGATTCCACCTGCCGTGTAATCCAATGGGGGCAGGCCTCATCGAACGTTATAACGGTGTTCTTAAGGCTGCCCTGACGGAGACCAGCTCAAGACGCCTGGGACAGACGGGCTTAAGGCTCTGGTGGCGCATAAGCAATCTTTATTGTTGTTACAGGCTTTTTATATCTTTTAGCTACAGGAGTATACAATACTTAAATCAGATAACATTCATGCAGCTGACAGCAATACATCATTATTTAACTAGCTCTTTCGTGGATTATGAACAGTACAGTGGTTAGAAGGTGTTCTATTCACAGAACATGTTCTGCTCTTGGTCACGGAACGAAGAAGCTGTAAATTATGCTTGCCAGTTTCACATGGCAGTCCTTCCCTTTCAGGAGGGGCCGCATGTTCCCTGTTTGACCCTTTCAGGCCAGCCAGGTCTGTTTTGCTTAACAGTCTTCCTCATTCCACCCTTTTCTATTTTATTAGACCAGGGGTGATGGTGGTTTATTTTTTGTGTTTTCCATTTCCAATTTTTTAAGATTTATACGCAAATTTTGGAATTTATTTGTTATTATTTTCATCAAGCATGGACAAGCAAGAATTCTTATGATTATCATTATGGCAATGACTATCAGCCCATAAATTCCATTTCTAAATGATTTGAAGGACGGAAATGCAGATTTTAGAGCGCTTATAAATGTAGTAGTTTGAGTTGCTACTGAAAGATCTATATGGTGCGACTGTATCATATCGTGAATGTGCTGTCTCAATTCCCTAAGATCTAATGACGTGTTCGCATTATTCCATATGCCTTGAAGATGATCTTGTATTTTGTTCCAAGAGAGTTTGGTATTGTTGTATTCAACAGGAGTCACACAGATAGCTCGGTATTCTGCATGACACAAGAGAGATTCACGAGTGGCTACAATTTGTAACTGTCTTCCCAGGATGTCTACTGTATCTTTTAAGGAATTGAGACGCAGTTCAATCTTTTCATCCCAAGTAGCTTGATTTTGTAACGCTTTAGATACATTAATTGATAATTCATTAACATATGCTGCTGTCTGAATACTAGTTGTTAAAGAAATAGAAGCTACTGTAGTTACTGCTATGGCAGCAATGAGCGCAGCTATTCCGGCTATTATTAGTCCGACCATTCGCTTAGATCTCTCTATTAATTTCAAAGAAGCTTCTTGGAGAATTTCCATTCCCTTATCAGCATACCAATAATGTGTCAAATTTACAGGAAGATAGACGTAATCGGGTTGCTTCACTAACAAGAAGGAACTACTGCTACTATTAAGACAATTAGAGATTATACAATCAGTACAGTTTACTATGTTATTCACAATATTTAGTGGCCTGCTTAAAAAGGCATAAGGTTCTGGAACACAAGCTCGCATATAAAACTCAGTTGTATAACTCTCTGCAGTCATTGCCCATTTATTATTTATTTGAATCCAAGTCAAGTTTAATCGTTTTGCTTTGATTTTTTCCATAGCTGCGACTGCTTTCCATAAATTAGAATAGAACGTATGATTATTTTTTGTCCAAATTCCTGAGACCAAATTAATTGGTCGCCCTTGATTTCCTATCATATTCCAATCACACATAGTGGAATTAATGCACACCGTTTTGTTAGCTTGACATGCTCTCCATAAAGGTGCAAATTCTGTTTTTGGGGTGATTGTGCTTTGACATAAAGGAAAATTTAAGGGAGGTGTTCCAGAACCTCTTGTCCCATTAGCTAAATCTATATAGAGAAAATTCAGAGCCCAATGAATTACTGTTGAAACATTGGTATCCCAGTCTTGCTGCACTACCACTTTCTCACACAGGGATTGTGTTTGATTCATCTGAAAACATATAGGCATACCATCAACCTTTCCAGAATAATAGAGTTCTCTGCACGTTTTAATTATGTGTCCATCTGAATATTGCCCCATAAACATTGTTTGATTGTTGTTAACCGGAATGTCCACGGGTTCATCCCATGTTACTGGATGAATGATAGGAGGATTGGGTACAAATGCCCAATATGTTTCTGCTTTACAGCCATGATATAGGATCCTCAAGGTACTAAGGATTAAGGCCACGACTCGTATTCGCTCTTGCATCTTTCTTTCCCATGTCTGGGTTAGAGTCAGTCTCTGCATCTTCCTTTGCAGTTTTCCCATCTTTGTTTTCGGCATGACGGACGTATCTCTCCGGCATCCACCGTGGCGACAGCTCATCTGCAGGGAAGATACAAGCATATCCTCTGCCCCAAATTAGTACAGGATCAGTACCATAAATTTTACTGTCCATTGGATTTCTCCAATATGCTATTGGTTTATCTCTTGTTTTATTACTCCAATATCTATTCGCAGCCAATTTTCCATCATCATCCAGTGTCAAAAAATTTAAAACAAATAATGCATGTGATAACATAGAGGACGGAGTATCTTTAATTCCTCATGTCCCCCTTTTTATTTTCTTTAGTTGAGTTTTCAATAAATGATTAAATTTTTCTACTATGCCTTGGCCTTCTGGATTATATGGAATTCCAGTTTTATGGTGAATTTTAAAATGTCGACAAAAGGTTGCAAAACCGCTACTTACATAAGCTGGCCCGTTATCGGTTTTTAATGATTTTGGTGTTCCCATAGTGCTAAAACAATGCAAAAGATGGTTGCATACATGAGAGAGTTTTTCACCAGACAAGGCTGAGGGCTACTGCAAAGTGAGAGAAAGTGTCAATTGTTACATGGACATAAGAAGATTTTCCAAAAGAAGGTAATTGAGTGATATCCATCTGCCATAAATCATTAGGCATTAATCCTCTGGGGTTCACTCCAAAATGAGGAACTGGTAATCAAGGGGCACAAGAAGAACCGTTCTGCATATTTGGAAGTCCAAAGCAAATATTCACCTCCACTTAACACAGCCTTTGCCAAGCTTTTCCAGTCAGAAGGGGGAAGAATATTAGCAGCTTTAAGCTCTTTCAGTTGTTCAAAAGGAATAGGCTCATAATCATTTACTATGTTTCCATTTGCTTGTTGGCTCTGTATCACGGGAAAAACGTGCCCAGAAAAATCATAAATTGTCTCCCCAGCTTTCCTAGCTTCTTTTAATGCTAATTGCATAGGGGATTGTTGCATAAGCAGAGCGTCCACACCCCGTGGTGGAGGCATTCGCCCTGCCCGAAAGGCAGGCACAGCAAGGGGATGTGATCGAGCCTGATCGACTATCTGTTTTGTCTGCACAGCGGCATTAGCAACCTGTAACGCTGGGAATACAGCTGCTAAGTCCTTATGGTGATATTCAGCAGCCTCTTTTTCTAACTCTCCCCAATCATCAGGGGGTAAAATATCCTTTGTTATGTTAGTGCCAGGAGGTTTACAAGGCGGCAAGTCGTTTGCTAATTTACAAATCAAAGGTTGCTCATATTGGGGAGGGGAGGGTGGGGGTGCCGATGTCATAGACGAAGGGATATGATCAAGAGATTTTGATCGCGACAAGGCAGGATAGAACTTTTCGGTTGAGCGAGTGGTCCGCTGCCACTTCTCATCTCCTGTGTCTCCTCTGAGACATTCTTTTATTAGAGTCCAAAGTGTAAAGGTATCAATAGGTACCTTCTCAGGACCATGCACAGCATAATAGCCCTGGAGTCTTTCACCTACTTTGTTCCAAGTTTCAATATTAATAGTTCCATCCCTGGGAAACCAGGGGCATACTTCCTCTATAAAATCTAAAAAACGACTAATCTGACCCCAGTCACTTTTATTCCTCGGGCATCTAATAATGATTTCAGCATTGCAGAAAAAATGCCTCGTTCAGTACTTGCAGCTTGTCCCATTTTATTTAACAATCTGTCCGATTCCCTAGTCCTTACCTCCCTATTTCAACTTACCAACCGAGGCTCATGGGAGGAAGCAACGCCTTTGTCATTTGGAGTCCGAGATTCCCGGGTTTCGGCACCAAATAACGGAGACCAGCTCAAGATGCCTGGGACAGACGGGCTTAAGGCTCTGGTGGCGCATAAGCAATCTTTATTGTTGTTACAGGCTTTTTATATCTTTTAGCTACAGGAGTATACAATACTTAAATCAGATAACATTCATGCAGCTGACAGCAATACATCATTATTTAACTAGCTCTTTCGTGGATTATGAACAGTACAGTGATTAGAAGGTGTTCTATTCACAGAACATGTTCTGCTCTTGGTCACGGAACGAAGAAGCTGTAAATTATGCTTGCCAGTTTCACATGGCAGTCCTTCCCTTTCAGGAGGGGCCGCATGTTCCCTGTTTGACCCTTTCAGGCCAGCCAGGTCTGTTTTGCTTAACAGTCTTCCTCACTGCTCTGAAGACAGACTCCCAGTCCCTGCAGGGGTGGACAAAAAGACTGTATGAAACCCTGCAGGACCTGAATGAAAGACCCTGAGATGGCAGACCCAGTGCCCTGAGAATGTTGTAGACGACATGGGCCACCCCGCTTAGGTTCCAAATTATGGGCACTGATAATCAGGTAAGACCCCAGATTGGTAAGGAAAATAATCTTCTGCTCCCTTCCCCTGAGAATTTAGATCCTGGTACCCATAAAATAAAATGGCCTTGGATGGTGCAGGTAGGACCCATATGGTGTAGCCTACTTGCATCTTCTGGGAGATTGTTGGAGGTGGGAGGCTCAGTAGTCCCTCCAGTAATAGGTACATGGCCTACTGATATTGTGGTCAGCACTCTGATTTTCATTGCTAAAGGGACCCCCATCATGTCCATGTGGCAGATCAGGACACCTCCTTTGGTGCCTGATATCATTATGCAGCCACAGACATCCGGCCAGAAGGTGTGGTACAGGTGGCCAGGATGTGCCCCAGTACATGTGGAAGTGTTGACCCAGGATAGAAATATGGCCTGTATCTTGCCCTGGAGAGCAGACCTTCCCCTCCTGGTACCTCTGAAACATCTGTTTTAGTCCCCATGAGTCTTTGAGCCTTCAGGATCACCGGAAGGAACGTAATGTCATCAAAAGCATTCCAGTGTTGCTGTCAGATCACGTACAACAGCCGGTGATGGTCTACATGGGACTGATGGAACATAAAACGGACCTGCACCTCATGACTGCATGCCTGCAGTAACCTCATCGAGCACTGGCCCATAAAAGAATATCGACGTTCACCGATCGTTACTCATCTTGAAATTTATCAAGGTCTTGTCATGAAATTGTATAAGCCTCATTGGTATATTGGATTTCTGTATTAGGAAAAGGTCACCCTTTAGTCAACCTGATCATTGGTTCATGCTGTGAAGGGGTGGAGTGTATGTGGCTGCTGAATCATGCCCTGAACCTCTGATTAATCATTTGAGGTGAGCAATGAGTCAGCCACAGGAGCACAGGTGAAGGCAATTCACCTGTGCTGCCAGAAGGGGTGGAGCCTGGCTCCGCTCCTCCTAGACCTATTTAAGAACTGACAGGCAGTGGGGAAGGATTTCTTTTGGAGACCCGTTACGCTGGAGTTTATCACACGAGCCTAAGATGGAGTGAGTGTCTTCTTTCCTTCTCTAGTATTATAATTTTATCAGTCAAGCTCTCGAATGTACTGTTTCATCTGTGTATTCATTGATTGTACAGTGACTTACACAGTTCCTGCAGTCAAGAGAAGAAAAACAGACATTTGTACTTAACGGGAATTTCAGTTTGTCACTTTCCTGCCAAGCTTCTCTTGGCAGGTTTTCTGTATTTCAACACTGAGTTTCATTTCAAGTTGTGGAGAAGGTACTGTTGCTCTTCACCAACTGCTGCATACCTACGTCAAACCTATCGGAAGGCACTTTGATACACCTAATACATGTTCTTCCTCTCACACAGGTCCTACCTTGAGGGGAAAATGAAGTTTATGAAAATAGTAAATACTGTAGGGAGTTAGCTGGGGGGGGGCAGGGAACGATCTCTTTTCTCTGGTCGTAGTTAAAGGAGGGTGATGTTTTTTAAGCATGTTGGTTCTAAGGGAGACCAAAATTTTGTAGCTCTGTATCTTTCACAACCTTACTTGAAACTCAGCTGGAACATAAGAAAAAAAAAAAAAAAAAAAAAAAAAAAAAAAAAAAAAAAAAAAAAAAGAGAGAGAGGGCAGAAAAGGGACTATAAATGGTAATATCAGTCTAAAACATGTTTGAAGTAGTTAAGTAGTTTAGCTTTCTAATTAATTTCTTTTTCTTCTTTATGAGTGCTACAGAAAATGAGAATACACTGAGACAAAGCAGTGAGTTAGCATATACTATCAAGTTCAGCAAGTATTATTTAAGATGCCAAATATAAGAGCAATGCTGCAGTTTCCTTTTTTTTTTTTTTCCTCCACTAAAAGCAATCACGGTTTGAAAAAGTTGAAAATAAATTTCCATGCTGTAAGTTCATGCCCAAGCTCCTCAAAGTTTTAAACACAGCATCTTACAACTGAAAAAAGTCTTTTTATTTGTAAGCTATATTTTGGAATACTATATACTTTTATTTTTCTGAAGAAACAGCATTTAAGAACTGAAAGTACAGTGTGGCATTAAATATTAAGATCCATTTTTAACAACTTTTGTTATTAACTTTTTTAAAGGTATGATACATTTGTATTTTGAAGTCAACTACTTAAGCATCTAAGTGATTTAAAGTAAGTACAAAATTGGAAGTCCAGTCACAAATGAGTATGTAGAGTCGTGTTCAAGATAGAGTCTACTCACAGTGGGCATAGCTGCACACTCACAAGCTAACTTTGTCTGTCATGAACCCTGCAGCTCTGAGTGACACCACTGATTAGGTAAGTTTGGTCTATGTAATATAAACCCTTTCTAATAAGGATATTAACTAAAGATTTTGGTTAAGCAATAAATCCTTTGTAATTAACAACAAAAACAACAAAAAATGTTTGCTCTGTTTCAGGCACTCTCAAGATACTAGCTTATTTACTGTACTAAAAAGTTAGTATATGGATTAAGGGATCTCTTACATTTCAACTCTGCTGTTATATACTATCTAGTATTCTTACTCTGAATGTTAACCATTAAAGTTTCTAAACACCTGTAAGCCCCACAGTAAATCTACATTATGAGGAAAAAAGATATATAAATCAATGCTTAATTTGCTCAGTGCATAATATTTACACTGTGAAACCAATAGGAGATGTCACAGTGATAAAGAAGCAATTAATTTTAAAAAGCTGGTTTTGTTGTGGTTTTTTTTTTTTTTTTTAGTAGAGTGTCCCATTACAGAAATTTTAACCATCTGAACTGTAGTCATTATTTCCTAACCATTTACATGCAACACCTGCTAGGACTAACTTTGTTAGAGTGTAGTTTATGACCTTTAAAAGATAAGCATTAACTTGTGTACAGTAATAATTAAGAATTGTACTAAAGAATCGTACTGGTCACAGCCCTCTTGCATACAAGAGGGGGGGGGGGGGGGGGGAAAAAAAAAAAAAAAAACCAAAAACACAGTAAAACACCTTAACAATAACAGAAAGTAGTCTCTTTCAGTACTCTAGTTATCAGTGGCAGTACTCAGACTGAGAATACCTGGATGATAAACTCTGTAGGCACTGGAAACAAACAGCTTTTGCATACATGCTCTTTATAAGAGGCCTTTCTTTCCACCAAATGGCAACAACTCACAAGAAGTAAGGGGCACCAGGTGTACATCTAAGCAGATCTTGCAAAATACTAAGATGGAGTTATTGTTAATATACAACTTGATCTATATATGCAATATAATAAAATGTATCCCATCCCAAAACTGGTTTATGAAACATTTGGATCTTTTTGAACTAGCCTTGTGACTCAGCTATTGTTCTAATGGAAGTACACAAAAGACTTACAGGAAAAGTAAAATTTATGAGGCATTTTACAGGAACTACTGACAAAGCTGCTTAAAGGATTTTCTGCTTTTGAAGTAATTTTATTAGATATAATTGAAACATCTGTGTATGAAATGCCTTGACAGACACTTCAACATAAAGCTTTGAATACTAAAAAAAAAAAAACTTTCATCTGTTATAAGTTGTACTGCAGAAGTATTAATGCATGCACATATCTGTCATCTGAGAGTAGTGATCCATTGCATGCATTCCTCGAGGTGTTTTCCATGTTAAAACAGTTCAGTGATAATAAGATGAAAAGTGATCAAGTATTTGAGATAAATTTAATAGGAAATGGAATGCAGTATGAGCTTTTTCTGTTGTTGTTTTAAACAGGAAGGTCTTGTACCAGCAGAATCCTTTGTACAGATACACAGAGAAGGAGGGAGTGCACCACTTTTAATTCCCATTAAACAAAAACTGATTAATCATCTGAGAAGGTACAAACTATAGAAAATATGAGTAGTCAGTAGAAGAGAAATAACCGGTTTTTATGAAATAAAAGCGAACGCTTACGTCTGGTTGCAGTTACTTTGTGAAAGCTGCTACAACAGCCCACAGAACCTCATTTGTGTTGGCTTTCATACATTCAACCTCAGGGTCTAAATCCAGAAGCTGCCGTACTCTCTTTGTGGCTAAATCATACAGCTCGTCCAAGAGGGAGGCAAAAGCATTTTCCAGAACATCTGAAGCATGGGCTAAATATACGAGTGCCAGCAAGCGCTTGTCCATGCGATGGGGATCATTCACCCATTTATCAAGAACTGCTTCTTGAACCTTCTTGATGAGACGCTGTTTGATATTGTTGTTTGTGAGAGGATGTGTAGTCATGTCAAAAAGAAGGAAATTCTGTTTCTCTGTTGTCAGTACACCTTTTTCCACTAGATTTTTAGCTAACCGTTCACGGACATTTCGTAACTGGTAGTGCAACTTCAATGGGTTCCACGTTTCACCTAAAAAAAGAAGAAAAAAAAAAAAGCCAACAGTCAGACAAAATCTAAGCTGTACTAATACACTGAAATAGTTTCAGCATTTCTCTTATCTCTGACCTATCTAGACATATACATAGAGACAAAGATCACAAGAGCCTCTTTGAAGAGTTTCAGTGTACATTTAAAGTTGGAAAGAAATGCTAGCTAAGTTATGTATTGATCAAGGGTATTCTTTAAAATTAAAGAAAAATCTACTCCAATCTTGTCTGTTTAGAATATGTGAGGGGTAGATTGTGTTTTTGCAGTAGAAGCTCCCAGCTTCCACTATTTTCTGAATATAGTATAGGCCTTTACTGAACTTACAACCCTCTTGTGAAATAGCCGATTTTCTTCCATTAAGAAAAGTTGCTGAACAGAGTAAAAAGTTAAGATTTGGGGCACTCTGACTGGCGTAGAATTGAGCCAGGTACAAGAGAAGACAAATGCAGGGTGGAGAAATTTGAGAACCAGAGATAAGGATAAACAGAAAATGATTAGGTGTTGCATTGTTGTGTGGCCTAAAGAACCAATTGTAGGGGAATCAGTTTTTTTGGCTGAGATGTGGATCTAATGAAGATTGGGTATATCAGGCTCTGAACATGCATGTGAATAGTAAAACACCTTTTTCATCAGAAGAGTCTGCATATGCTGCTTGTTGGATTCAGGGAGTGCAACAATTAATCGTGGCTAGATGAAATTCCGTAGATAAGGAAGAACAGAGAAATTCCAGATGGGATCCTTTAAACAGCCTACCCCCTCTCGGAACTGTCCCTATGGTGGAACAGCATCCCCCCCCTTACAATCCTGGTCCTGAGCCAAGTCCTGTAATTGCAGGAGAAAAGCTGGAGACAGCTGACAGAGTGGAGGACATTGGCCTTGATCACTCCCCTAACAGCCCACCTGAACAGAGCTCTGTGACTAATGCTGAACCTAAAAAAGAAAAATTTCACCAGCATAGGAAAGAATTGGAACAATTCAAAAGAGATTATAAATTTTCCCTTTCCTAAAGCTAACTCCACTAACTCCACTAACACTCCTATGTACCCCCTCAGGGAAGTTCCAGTGTTAACAGGAATAGGGTATGTGAACGCCCCTCTCACTAGTGGAGAGGTGAGAAATTTTTAAAGGGAAATGAAACCCTTAATGGAAGATCCTATTGGATTAGCAGAGCAGTTCGATAAATTCTTGGGGCCAAATTTTTACTCATGGGATGAGATGATGTCCATCCTGAGTATGTTGTTTAATGGGGAGGAAAGAGGAATGATTAGACGAGCTGCAATGCAGGAATGGGAGAAAATGCATCCTCTGGGTGCAGAGGCAGTACCAGCTGAAGTGATATACCCATTAACAGACCCAGGAGGGGATGGTAATAATGATGAAGGGAAGGCACATATGAGGGATCTCCAGGAAATAAAAATCTTAGGAATTAAGGGAGCAGTGCCTCAGTCTCAGAATTTTGCTAAAGCTTTTGAAATTCAGCAAGGTAAAGACGAAACACCAAGTGAATTTTTGGAGAAACTAAGGGATAGAATGCGAAGGTACTCAGGGCTGGATCCTGATGATCACGTCACACAGGGAATATTAAGGATCAATTTTGTCACTAAATCCTGGCCAGACATACAAAAGAGACTGCAGAAAATAGAAGGGTGGCATGAGCAGCCATTAGAGAATCTCCTGAGAGAGGCACAGAAGGTATATGTGAGGAGGGAGGAGAAGACAAAAGAAAAAAATGGTTGTTGCAACGGATCAAGTGATAAAAGAGAAAATGGAGAATTGACAAAAGAGAGATTCCCAAGGGAATCAGCACTCAAGGGGCAGTTGGGATAAAAGGAATAAAACAAAAAACAGGGAAGTGAGGAGGTCATTTCTTGCACCTCCAGTGCAGAATCCAAATACAGTACTCCAAACTTGCCAATGAAAAATTGGAAAGCAGGTGCTATGGTTTGGTACAAGATTTGAGGGCAAGTAATAGAATAGTTGAATGCATACACTCAGTGGTGGAAAATCCATACACTTTATTAACCAAGTTAAGGAATGAGTAAGTGGAGTTTACTTTCTGGATTTGAAGGATGCCTTTTCTGCCTGATTTGGACAAAGGAAGACTAGGGTTTTTTTGCCTTTGAATAGGAAAACCCTAATATGGGGACAAAAAGACTCAGTTAACCTGGACAGTGTTACCCAGGGTTGTGAAAACAGCCCAATGATTTTTGACAGCTGGTCAAGTCGTGAGCCTGTGACTTGGGTTCCTCCATCCCAGGGTGGAACCTTACTGCAGTATGTGGATGCCACGGAAACAAAAGAGGACTGTGTGCAATGGACTGTGAGTTTGCTGAATTTCTTGGTGTCATGGTTTTATGGTGGTTTTTTTTTTGGGTTTTCAGTATTCTGCATCAAAACATCATGTAGTGTACTGGGAATTGAAGTGTTAATGCTCCAATTCCAGGCACCTATCCCTGTACATTACAGAAGTCATGGGATCTGGCCCTTCCAGGTGTGGCGCTTTCTTACTGCCTGGCAGTGGGTGCTGGAGGGTGCTTTCCTAGCCGTTCCAAGCTTTTCAGGTTTGACTCAGTCTCAGGAACTCTCTCTCTCTCTCTCCTATCTTATTTGATTTATTAGTCTCAATTTGCCCCCTCCGTCATGGGCATAGATTGATCTAGTTAACTCCGCGACACTTGGTTTAAATGATTATCAAGTTTCTCAACAGAAAGCACAAATAAGTCCACAGTAAGTTACATATTTGGGATATGAGATTACAGCTAGACTTCGAACCTTAAGGACTGTCAGGAAAGAAGCCATCTGCCAAACCCCTGAGCCGCAAACTGCCAAGGAACTCTGTACGTTCCCAGGAATGACAGGATGGTGTTGACTGTGGATACACAGCTACGGACTGTTGGTAATGCCAAAATATTTTATGAGATGGGGAGGCAAGGAAGGCATTCCCTCAGCTGAAAGAAGAACTCATGAAGGCCCCCTGCTTTGGGGCTACCAGACATGACTAATCCCTTTTGGCTGTTCTTGCATATAAAGCAAGGAATAGCCCTGGGAGTCCTTGCCCAGAACCTTGGACCCTACCAAAGGGCAGTGGCACACTTCTCCAAACAGCTTGATGAACTGAATAAGGGATGGCCAGGGTGCTTGAGGGCGGTGGCTGCACTAGTACTCAGTATTCAAGAAGCCAGTAAAGTTATGCTATGCCAAAGAATAACAGCTTTAATATCTCATACAGTGTCTACTGTATTAGAGGTAAAAGGGGGGCATTGGCTCTCACCCCAAAGGTTCCTGAAATCTCAGACCATTCTGGTAGAGCAAAATGATGTAGAAATAATTGCAACTAATATTGTCAACCCAGCATCTTTCCTTAGTGGAACTCCTGGAGAACCAGTATTTCATGACTGCTTTGAACCAGTCAGACCTGAAGGACGAATCCTTAGAAAATGCAGAAGACACCTGGTTTACTGATGGTAGCAGTTTTGTGAGACAAGGAAACCGTAAGGCAGGATATGCAGTAACTGCAACTGACAACCATTACCTGTGGGGACTTTGCCTCAGAAAGCTGAAATAACTGCCTGGACAAGAGCCTTAATTATATGGACAGATGCTAATTATGTATTTGGGATGCTACGTGCTTGTAGTACCATCTGAAAAGAGCAAGGATTGCTCATACACAAGGAAAACAGCATGATGTAAATCTACCAACGGCTATTATACATTGTAAAAGACATCAGAAAGGTAATGATGTATAGGAAACTGGAAATAAGATGATGGATCAGGTGGCAGAACAGGTAGTTGAAGAAGGCTTTAATTCCAGATGGTAAACTTAAGATCTCTGAATCTGAGTCAGAACCTGTAAAATATTCTAAAGAGAATAGGAATCTAATTAATGATTTAGAAGGGAAGAGTGCAAGCTGACATATGGGTGCACACCCAGATGGACACATTGTTATGCCCTTTAGTATTTTATGGAAATTGGTTCTAAGGGAAGATGAGAAAATATATTGGGCAGACACTACAAAGTACGATTTTAGTACCAGGAACAGGGTACAAGTGGGCCTATTGGGAAAGGGAACCTTCCAGGGCAACAATGGCAAACTGATTTCTTGGAACTCCCAATAAAAGGTGAGTATTGCTGTATGTTGATACTAATTGATACCTTTTTACACTGGCCAGAGGTATTTTGCTGTAGGACTAATACGGCCAGGAAATTAATGAAAGTGCTGTTACATGAAATAATTCTGAGATTTGGGGTTCCTGCAGCGATCTCATCAGATCACGGCCCACATTTTGTTGCTAAGGTGTTCCAACAAATAAGCACATTATTGGGAATTGATTGGCAACTGCACATACCTTATAGGCCACAGTCAAGCTACCAGGTGGAAAAAATGAATCAGCTGATCAAATTACAAATAGTAAAACTTGACCAAGAAGCTGGGATTTCATGGCCGCAGGCACTGCCTTTGGCACTTGTAAGAATTCAGACTAAACTCCGAACCAAGGAAGGATTAAGCCCATATGAGATTCTCTACGGGCGACCTTACACTGCACAAAAAGGAATCTCTATGCAGGTTGAGGATGAGGTGTTGAGTGAGCATACGCTCAGCTTGGCAAAGCAGTTAAAGAAAATTGAGAA